TAGGGGAGAAAATTATAATTTATAGAAACATCAATTCTATAAAGTTATCACTTTACGTTTTTATGGATATTGTCAAATTATGGAGTTGAACTTCATTGGTTTCAATCGGTAGGAAATAAACATAGACGCTGCTCCCAAAGTAAAATCCCCCTGGCCATAATGCATTATAACGTATTAGAAAGTGGTGTCTAGGGGAAGGTCAGCCGACTCCGAATATTAACGACCGAGGGAGACCTGATAGGGATATGTGGTCCTCGGCAATAATAAATATATAAGAGCTAAGGGAGGACGTTCGGTTAGCAGGTGTCATAAATCGGTTGGGCGATTGGTGATGCACACTTCGTCTCTGGGACCCCAATGAATTGACCGAGGACTTCCAGGGGACAGAAAACTACCCCACTTGTACTGTGATCACGTACGGCCTTCTTATCTTATTATATATGTAGAAATCGGGCTTGGAGAAAGCGAAAAACATTTGTTTTTGGTGTAAATTATGCTTAACATTTAAGTGGAATTTTAATGGGATTATCCCTAAAAAAATTATATTCCATTACACACCGTCCCAGTTCATTTTTAATTATTTTTTAAAGTTGTATAGCATCAGCAATTTATTGTACATTGCGTAGTATAATATATATTCACATATTATGTTAAATATTACCGTTATTTTTTTAAATATTTTTTGTTTCGATACACTTGTTAAATCGTAACTGCTGGTGAAAGAAATAAACACATTTTTCAATATTTTTAGTAGGTACAAATAATTATATATTTCAAAAAATCAGGTTGGTCAATTAGGAAAAGCGCTACTTAATTTATTTTTCACGCTTACGAAGAATATATTCTCATCCTCTGGACATTTTTTTCCCAATAGCTTTAGGATCTGCTATATTACCCAGAAAAGACGTAAGATATATGCGTATAGGTTGTTTTAATTTTTATTTTTTGGTGGATGGAAGGGTGCTGTTTATTCGGGCCATTTTCAGCGCCTGGGTGAATTAAAAAACATGTTGATTGTTAAAAATAGAAACAGATGTAAATATAAATTTTGAAGCAAGTATTTCATACATCTGTATTGTATTTTTTAGAATCAACAGTTGTTTTGTAATTGTATTTTATTAATATTATTCTTTTTAATAAATAAGTTATATTATTGTCTAAATTGGTGCGGGCGTATCGATGTTTTAGCAAATCTTCTCGCACTATCTAAAATAAGGCAGATCTTTATCGGAGATGATAGGTTAACATTTTTGAACAAATAAATTCATATGTTAGCTAGGGCCCACGAGCGAAAAAAGGCAAAAATTTGAAACAATTTTTTTATTAGCGCCATTGGTTCAAGAGAAATTCAGCCGGGCCTTTTAAAAAGGACACTTTATAGACACCAATTTGAGGAAACACTATGAACCGGCACAGGATCACTTATTGGGTCCGTCTTCACTCGCGGGTTTGTTGAATTACTAAAACTCGTTTCGGAATTGCGCCATCTGTTCCGGGTTAATATGAGTTCACCAACTTTCAGACCCTTCTTCAACGCTATGATTCCGGTGAGCTTTTATTTATGCGAATCTTTATAGATAAATCAGGGTTGACAAATTTCATAAAGCAAGAAAATAGTCTTTGATTACTCTCACTGAAGAATAATCGGATTTGCTCTAAAGGTGATGAACAAATAACACGGTTTATTATTTGAATTTGTGAAAATATTTGCTATATTGCTGTATAAGCCAGTTTTTCTTTTCTTTATTTATTGAGTTTCCTAATGTGAAAATTCCTTAAACATCGTTCGGCTTAACTTTGTCCTGCGAGCCATGAGCGTCGGCTATTAAAGACTAAGTATTGATTGTAGTGACAATGGGTTGGAAGAGGGCTGACCCTTGTCCCAAGGGAGCAAGTCCCTCCGCGTTTCCCTCAGGGAACACCCCAACAATATATATACCTACTTAACTAGGACACTACAAAGATTAATGTAGCACCATTCAGCCGGGGAAAAATGTCCCGCCCCACCGAAGTGTCTAGGGATGAAAATTCGATTGGAGGTGTCCCTAGATCAAATAGATTTATAAAAATTATGGCAGGACACGTCCTGCCCGAACTGTATGACTCATAAAATGACTTCGAGACATGTAATCTTTCTAATTAAAATTTATTATAACAAGAAGAATAAGGATTTTAAAGCGATATGTGCATTTTCACCATGAGTAAATTGTATATATTCGTCTGGTATGGATTACCATAGTTTGCTAATCCCCGATATAACCGTATAATATCTGATAATTTTAACGCAGACGAAACCCTGGTATCGGAAATGATATCGAGTGACAAATGAGTGCATATATGTACATCAGAGTGTCACTACTGACTGTGAGTAAGACAATACACGTTCATTATTTCTTATGTTCTTATTTTCATTGTCTTTGCTTGTTGTAGTTATTAACAACTATATTCATCTTATCGAACCACCTGGTAGCGTTCATATGGATTCGGGGGGTTGCGGAATATGACTGAGATGAAAGAAAAAACATATACCTGTCTATCAAATATACCTACACTCTTATTATTACCCTTCATAAAACATGTATAATGTCTCTTTCTATTTGGCTATGTGTAGAAACCTCATCTTTATTAGGCCTTCGAGTAACATTTACACATTCTTCTTGCAGAACTTTCGCTCAATATTTTCTGATTATTATGTTTTTTTCTGTACTGTGGTGTTGTTCACTAAGTTTGAGTTTGTAACGTTCCCGCACAGAATGGGTTTGGTCATACTGGTACTGGTGTACCAGGTGTACTTGATGAACTCTCAATGACTTGTCTCAATTACACTCTTCCTGCTGCCTGTGTTTTCTGATACCATCAAAGTGGCGTGATATCAGGGAAGTACTTGGAGAAAAGCATGGTTATCATAGTAGATAGCTACTTGAATGACTTCTTTTTTTTTTTTTTTTGTATAGCTCAACTGCCACCGTTTTTGCCGTAAATACTCTGGCGAACTTTCCAAGCAAATTGTCATTTTAACATTTATTTTCCGATCCTTGTTTGATTTTAAAGCACCCTATATCAAATCGCTTCAGCGCTGAGGGTAGCCCTTTATTCCGTGCTGCTAGTTCTGCTATTATAATTTAATATTTCATTCCAAAGTTATAACTAGGAGTTATAAAGCGTTTGTTCATTATTATTATTGCATCACATATTCGAAGAATACAGGTCGCCCAGAATCCCGATGTGGTGGGTCGTGAGGATGCCAATATGTCCGTGTTATGCTGTTCAATGACACTGAAGGTTATCTCGTGTGCTCATACTAGTAAGACAAGCCACAGGTATCCAATCATCGACCATTTTCTAGCCAACCCACATCGGCACACACAACTGAAACGCTAAAGAGTTAGTAAATTTATATGATGTTAATAATCGATATAAAGAATGGTGTAGCATATCTGATGGAAGATGCCTAAATACATACACCCACCAAGTTAACGGTTAAAACTTTTACGACCTTACATACCGTGACCAATACTGGTCTATCGTGCAATCTCCACTATTAGCTACTAATTAGTCGTTAAACTTAAGGTTTCAACAAGATCCCAAAGCTTTGTTAAAAGCCCCCATCCATGTAAGAACTTTAGGTATGACTTTTACCCTCCTAAGTAGAAGCAGTTTCATAGACACAACAGAAGTCATTTTTTGCTGCTTCTTCTTCTCCCTGGTAATATCTTCACAGGCTTGCTGCTGCTACTCCCAATTATCCATATGCCTATAAAGTCTGCAGTGGTCAGGCAGCAGTACTTCCATCCTACCACGTTAGTTTCACAAATGCTTCACTTTTCCTAGCCTACTGATGAATGCTTTTGGCAATTTGGTAAAATGCCAAAGGATTCAAGGCCGATAAGTGTCCTCATAGAACTTTCCTTGGCAATTTACTACACCTACTTTTATGCTGTGGTATCCATGCAAGGGAAATTTTGATGTTGACCCAATGTCTGACTGTTCGAGTAGAGGGCTATTCTTCTGTTAGTAGTTCCCAGCTTTTTGATTTCCCTGGCACAGAGTTCAATAGTGGCGTCGGTCCCGGCCGGAAATGCAGTGGAATATTGCCCAATTTTTATACGAATTAGTCTAGCTAGCACTTGGTTCCTTTGGATGGATATCAACTTCTGCCCTATATTCAGTCTTAAAGCCATCTGTAAACTAGGTATAGGCAGCAATAACCGGGATTCGTTTCTTCCCTCTATAGAATATTTTAATTTTAAATTTTTATCAAATCTAAAATTTGGGATCATGGGTTAACGGACCATCCTCACAAACTAGTCTGCCTGAAATCCCTCCCAAAGCGCTTATTGCTCATAGCGAGGTTGTTGGACCGTGTCTCTGCATTTTCACATAAAATGAGACTCTCCCTGGATGAAGATATGCAGTAGTGGTACATTCAAGTAAACTTATAGCGCAGGAGCGGAGTTCGTTCTCATTGCCTCAGAAATGCGCTAGACACACTTGTCTCTGAGCAGCTGTATCTACTAAAACACCACTGTATAGATAAATCATGGGTTCGCTAGTTATGTGCAAAACCATAACATCCTTGGATTTAGCCCGCAATACTTCATTATAAAGAACTAACTGTCGACTGAACGGTACACTAAAAACACAGATCCATCAACGTTACCGATAAAGACGACACATTTCTTCCACCATTTTATTTGCGAACCTAAAAGGCATTTGAAAAAAAATTACCTAGTACCAAGTGGACATGGAATAAATGTGATTGTACATTTGTAATGTTTAATCTTCATTATGGAAATGAAGAAAATTCACTCGAATTAAAAACATACGCTATTTATTATCAGTAAACAAGCCAAGTTTAATCGAACAGAAATAGTCAGGTGTTTTCTTTTTTAAATGAGAATTACATTATTTTACCAATTTAACAGCTTGAAGCACCTTAGCTAAGGTTTTTATGAGCGTGTAAAGGAAATGTTGATGTATGTGTTTTGGTTGTTGTAAAGGTGGTAATGATGATGATGACGACGGACGAACCGGTCGAGTCCACCCTGATGTACCTCAGTCACCATCTGGGAGAAAGACAGAAGCGTACACTTCTTCACCGCCGAGAGCTGCCGCACGTTCTCCTCAACCTGTTAAACCTCCGACAACGGTAACAGCTCAGCCCCGTGGGTCGATAGTACCTCAGTCCCGTGGGTCGTTAGTACCTCAGTCCCGTGTGTCGTTAGTACCTCCGGCCCGTGGGTCGATAGCACCTCAGCCCCGTGAGCCGATCTCGCTTCAGCCTGCTGGATCTGCCATGTCCCTGCAGTCAAGAAGAGCAGCATCCATTAATCTACTTGGTCCACAGACGAGCAGCATACTGAATGTGGCTGAAGGAGGCACAGCGAAGGGAGGAGTATCATGCACCGATAAAGTGCCTCAGAGGGGAGAAGCAGCATGCCCCTATAAATCGCCTTATAAATCAATGAGCTCAATGAAATTAATGAACGACTCTCAGAGAATGTTGGTGTAAACCACTGAAAGGATGTTGTTACTGCCTACTGTGAAGGTGAACCGTCACAAAAATATGAGTTAATTTTTGTAAAAGGTTTGCACATGTTAACATGAGCAATGCCTTTAATAAATAGAAGAAAATTCTCAACCATTGGTTACTTTTTATTGACTTAATATTTTTTGTAGTATTAAACATTTTAATTAAACATACATAAAAACAAAAGTTCTTTTTTAGTCATGCCACCGCCGTATTGTATTCAAAACTATAAACGATTCGATATACTGTAAAAAATTATAAGAGCAAAATGTGACGGGAGATGGTGTGATACACGCATATATACATGCGAAATACTACCTGAAAACTAAATTTATAGTTTTATAATGTGATACTAAATTTTTTTTAACGTAAAGGAATGCGTGATTAACATTATTATTTAAACACTTTCAATTTGGCAGGTATTTAGGACAGTGGGTTAATAATGAATACAAGTTTGATAATATTTTGTTAAAAGACTTATCTGTAAAATTAAGTGTTGAAAATTAAAAGAAATCGAAACATTCGCTTAATTATTTTAATATTGGTTTCGAACCGAAAATCGTACAAGATATAATATTTTTAATTACCGATCAGACTAATTCATTATGATTGTTGCGAGAAATCGCTACGAAATTTCCACGATCATTCGCCCCCTCGGGGCTCTAAAAAGGTTTACTGTCGGGTCTTGAGGGTTAGAGGGTCATAGGGCGGCTGTGTAATACTTGCGGTCACGCTTATTACTGCCGCCCCGGGGGCGGACACGTCATAAATGTTTGAGGCGTTTTGGGATCTTCATCACTATCTGGGGCTGCATCAACTATAACTGCCCTTTCCAATCCACCTAAAACACACCCGAATTCCAGAGTGCCAATAAACTAGTCAACCTCGAGCACATCCCTTTAAATCAATGATAGGAGGCTACCCTCGGAGGGCCACTATGATTTACAGCCCCTGGAGACTGATAGTAATGACAATATTTTTTTCTCCAATCCATTAATTTTCTGTAAAAAGAAAATTTCGTTATTTAATGTACTCTCGTTTTTCTTCATCGTTTAATCGCCACCGTTTCTTCAGTTTATCACTCTAATATCACAAGATATTAAACTCAAAATCAGATCTGTCTGTTTTTATTTGACTTAAAGTTATTGCTTTTAATTATATAACTTTTCAACGTGTTAAAAATATTATTAATTAAAAATACTATAATAATAAAAGCAAATATCTTGGGCTTGGTTCACTCTTAAATAATCAAAGTTCCAAATTGGCATAAACTGATATGTGCAGCTATGTATAAAGCAAGCAAACTAAAACAATTTTTTTGCTTTTACATATTATTAATAAAACTAAAATTTGTATTATGAAACCAAAATATGTCCGAAACGTCTTGATACAAATTTTAAAAATAATTATTATTGCTCGTAAATTAGAGTAATTCAGATATAATTCAAGTTCTAACTATAAAAAGTAATTACACAATGAATTTATAATTTGTTCCTGGCTGGTTTAAACCTATATCTACCTATAAAAATAATAATCATAAAAAGCGAACAATTTACTCGTTATGAAAAACCATCAAAAGATCAGAGTCCTCCCAAAAACTTCTGATATCGTCATTCTCTGATCCTGCACCAAAACCTACTTCAAACTTTGAAAAATTAATACATTACCAAGATACATTTTTGAGTATTTTGTGAAGAAATAAAATAAAAAAATTCAATTAGCCCTTATTTCCTCCATTTTGTCAAAGAAAATCTACAAGGGTGTTGCTGGGAAAGTAACAAAGTGCAGTACTCAAACCATGAGACATCAATACGTCAGGAGGTTACTACATGTCCAATTGGTTTAGAAAGTCCCTACTGTCCAAAATCTGTGGGCCGCGAAATTCGTTCAATGGTCAACCAACAGCCCAGGTTCAACCACAATGGATTTATATACACGGGGAACTTTCAATACTGAAGCATATCCTAGTCCCTGCGACAATTCGAGAATCCTGTGCTCTTACCAGAAAAGAGAAGCAGGATAAAATCTTGAGAAATTTTTAAAACATGAGAAATAATTAATTTACTATCAATTAAAATGGTAAATAAATCAATCGATTTTCAATGAAAATAAACCCTTTGAAAACCGGTTTGGGTAGTTGATATTGTTTGTCTAATGAAAAATTGTTTTAAAAAAAATTTCCCTCACCAAACTGGGGGACAGTGAACCTCCGGCCTTCTGTTGTGCTTGGAGCATATCATATATACATAATTACCACATAACAATGAATTTATAACGAAACTTCTCCGATTAAACTGTTTAAACATTTACCTACAAAAAGGTGGCCAATTACACTCTTCTCGAAATTAATTGATTTCACTGCGGAAAATACATTCATTTTCTGGAAAGAACAGCACCCAGATTGAAAAACGGCCTGCAATCACTGACAACGGTATCTTTCCTGGAAATCGGCAAAAAACTGGCTGTGTGCCGCAGAAATGCAGAAACGACTGAGTAATCGTACGTTTCGAAACATGCTTCCAAAAGCACTACACCATTGCAGACAAACTGTTCACAACGACGCGGAAGAAGAGCAAATGAAAGATATCTCAGTTGATGAGGTCGACACCACCAACAGCCAATCTGCAAATGGAGAGATCGAGGTGTAACTTGGCCCAAGGAACATGTCGCCAATGCTTACAAAAGTGCCAAATATGCAAGAAATTTGTCTGCAAAGACACCGAAATACCACTATTATACGCCAAAAGAATCATCAATTTTTTTGTTAATTTTGTTTTTTCAAGTTTTTAAATATCTTAGAATTTATTGAATTTGCTTTCCTCTATTCAATGCACTCATTTATTAAGAAAAACTGGGTAATTAAGAAGTGCGGTCCTTGAGGGACACAACCCGGTTGTTGGTGTAAAATTTTTCACCCGGTATTCGGAGGGTTAAGGACCCTTTAGTCTGTAAATAAAAATTTTCATCGAACTAACAAATAAATATTTTGTTCTGGATCAGCCCGAGGTACTTTTTTTACTATTACATAAAAAACTCGTGACACCTTAACTTTTTTTTCAAATTGAACGTGTATACAACGTTTGGAAAGGAAAATATTTCCACTTTCAAGGTATACCAACACAGGCCTTAAAAGTAACAACAAATACAATGAGCTAAATAACCTAAAGTCTTATTTTATATCCCCGATTCTAATTTATATACAGTACAGACGTTTATGGCATTATGTGTACTTCATATAGTTCTATACTCGTACTAAGTTTCCAGTAATTCAATGAAGTTATTTCAACGTTGTCACCATTATTGTGATTTAAAAAATCGCAGGATTTTAGAAGGTGAAAATATTGAGAGAATTTTTTCTTTAATTTTCCTCAAAAATTATGACAGTTTTAAGTAGAACCTTGCCGAAACATTAACTCAAGCTAATTGTGTTCAAAATTACCCATTTTTTGTTTGGTACAAAAATTCATACTTATTACTAGTAAATAAAACACTTTTTCACCAACTGTAATAATAGCCTCTTTTTGCTTTCGTAACTTTCTGAATATTTATACTCATTCAAAGACAAGACAAAAACATAAATCGAATGATATAAAATTTTGGAACACATGCCCAAAAAAATGCAGTAAAATTTATTTTTAAAAATGTAAATTAATTTGAAATACTTTTTAAGTTTTGAGGCTCCATTAGCAAGATTGCACGGGCACGTGTTTAATATTTTTAGACCTAATATCACTTTTAAAAAAAGCCCCTCCTTGTTAGAGAAATCTTACAATTTAAGTTTTGAAACGTCATTAATCTTTCTTCCTGCCCTTCTTTGATTTTTAAACATTTCTATGAGATTTAAACATAATAAAGACTTAATGTGTGAACGCAGTTTTGAAAACCAAATTTTTGTCAGAGGAAAAAGCTTTTCAGTGACATAAACTTCATAAGAGGGTGCTCGTGTTTAAGTTTTGTGTTTTGATTCTGAACCCCAATTTCTTTGCATTTGTATTATACATATTAAATATTTTTTAATTTATTTCACAACCAATCCATTTTAAAGAGAAATTTTTTGTAACAAGAATCTCGCTCAACTTCAAGTCCGCCCACGTAAGAAACGGAAAGCGTAAAATTACTTAATAAGAAGAGAAATGTACTTCAACGGTTAAGACAATTATTAGCGGGATGGTTAATGTCCTGTTGCCATTGTGCTCGCAGGTGTTGTAGGCGGGTCTCTTATTGTCGTCATTTGTCCATCTTCCCGAAGACTCTGGATGACAGATCTCGTGTCAAGGGGTCATTCCGATGTAGAGCTCCAGTGATTTGTAATGTACGTGCCCCTCGCTCCGTTCGGGGGATGACCACCCCTTCCCGACCATTAATTCCCTTCCTCCGAGAACCACCCGCGTTACACCCTCAAACGACAAATTTGTCCAGAAACCGAGCAATTCATCCTAGAAACTTTCATCGTCTCTCTCTCTCCCGTAAGATTTTCCTTTCTTTTTCGTTCCAAATTAAATAGTCGCTTCAATCGTTTTTCGCACTTCTGTGTAACGAATGTATTGTATGGACTTTTTTTTTTTTTTTTCAACGGACATTTACGTTTAGTAAAATGGAAAAATGGCAATCAGGCTATGACCTTTCATTAGAATCACCAACTGGCGTTCTGAAACATTTTGCGAACTCTTAACCATTTTCACTTTTTAAAAAAATCGTGATTATATCATAGAAATAAAAAAAATTAAATTCATCTGCTTAAATTTGCAATTATATAAGCTAAAGTTTTTATCAGGTATTATATATTTATTTTTATTTTCATAGTAGTGCATAATCCGTAATAATTCACAAAATTCACGCACATACACATACACACGCACACATACACACAAATATTCATATCACTCTCTCCCTCTCTTTCTCTCTCCTTGTCTCCCCTCACACTCTCACGAACTATCTCTATCACTCTTCCTCATTCATTCTCTCTCTCTCTCTCTCTCTCTCTCTCTCTCTCTCTCTCTCTCTCGCTTTCTTTCTTGCTCTCTCTCACTCTCTTTTTTCTCTCTCCCACTTTCATTCCAAACTGTGCACCAATGACTAGGGATATTTGTAATTTATTCTTATTCTATTAATTTCAATGAAA